GCATTCATTTCCTCCTCGGTATTAAAAACTTGTTTCACTGTGTATATATCATTTAGGTTGATATCAGTTTCCAAAATTAAAGATAGTTCACTATTGTCATACTACCATAGTTGCTAGTGAGAAATTATCTGTTAATCCAATCTTCAGTACTTTGCAGATAATTTGTCTTTATTTTTTCTGTTTATTTTTCAGATGTCTTTAGCTTTGATGTTTTGCTGTTTTATTACAATTTCCTTAGTTTTTGATTTCTCTGTGCATTCATCTCATTTAGGATTCACTGAGTTTTCTGGATCAAAGAATTGATGCTTTTAAACAATTCTGCAATGTTCTCAACCATTATTTCTTCAAATATTGAGTGTTCCACCTCATTATATCTCCTTCTGAAGTCTCTTAGTGGTTTTTTTTTTATCCTCACCTCAGAACGTGCTCACTTTTTTTTTAAGAGAGAGGGTAAGGAAGGGAGAGAGGGAGAGAAACATCAATGTGAGAAACCTTGCACTCACTCCAACCTGCAACCGAATCCACAACCTAGGCATGTGCTCTGACCAGGAATTCAACTGTCACAGGATGATGCTCCAACCAACTAAGCTATACTGGTCAGGGAAAAGTCTATTAGTCTTAGTTGTTAAATGGCCTACTCACAATTTTTTGTCCCATTGTGCTGAATTCTGGATAATTTATTGGTATTAATCATCACCTCACTACTTATGTCTTCAACTGTGTCTATTATGCTTCAACTGTGTCTATTATGCTGTGGCCCATCCACCAAACTTTTCATTTTGACTATGCAGGGGTTGGCAAAAGTAGGTTTACAGTTGTTCATATGGAAAAAAAAATGCAGGTTATGATTATTACAGTAGCTTTATTAACTCAAAAGAATAAACTGTCTTTTACAAACTCACAACTATAAACCTACTAGTGTCCATCCTGTATTTTCATTTCAGATGATCTATTTGAATTTTTTCAAACCTCATTATTCATTTATATGATCTTTTAAGAGTTATCTTTTCACTTTAAACACAGTAAGCAGGACTTTCGGCCAAGATGGAGGCATAGGTAGACACACTGTGCCTCCTTGCACAACCAAAAGAAGGATGACAACAAATTTTAAAACAAAAATCCAAAACTGACAGAAAATGGAACTGTATGGAAATCCAACAACCAAAGAGTTAAAGAAGAAACATGCATCCAGACCAGCAGGAGGCAGGGAGATGGGCAGCTGAGTGGAGAGGACTCGAGGCAAGGCAGTGGCTAGAAGACTGGGGCTGGCAAGGTGGTACCTGGCAGAGCTGGTGGTCCCACATTCATGTGTAGATAAACCAGGAGAAACAACTAGGGAGCGAGACAGACTGCATAACCCAGGGTTCCAGTACAGGAAAATAAAGCCTCAAAGCCTCTGACTATAGACATTTGTGGGGGGTGAGGTGGCAGGAGAAACTCCCAGCCTCAAGGAAGAGTTCGTTGGAGAGACCCACAGGGTCCTAGAATGTACCCAAATGCACCCACCCAGGAATCAGCACCAGAAGGGCCAATTTGATTGTGGACAGCAGGGGAAATGACTAAAAACTGGCAGAGCTCAGGGCAAGCAGCACTGTTCCCTCTCAGAGCCCTCTCCCACATACAGTGTCACAAGGCAGTGACGTGGGTTGCCTTGTCCTGGTTAACATCTAAGGCTCCACCCCTTATTATGTAACAGGTGCACTGAGACCCAGCCACCCCAAAAAATGGCCCAAACGAAAGAACAGTTCAATGCTCCAGAAAAAATACAACTAAATGATGAAGAGACTGCCAACCTATCAGATGCACAGTTCAAAATGCTGGTTATCAGGATGCTCCAGGAACTCACGGGGTACTTCAACAGCATAAAAAACACACAGGGAGCAATGAAGGTTGCATTATGTGAAATAAAGAAAAGTCTGCAGGGAACCAACAGTGATGAGTAGGAAACCAGGACTCAAATCAACGGTTTAGACCAAAGGAAGAAGAAACACTCTGCCAGAACAGAATGAAGAAACAAGAATTCAAAAAAATGAGGAGAGGCTTAGGTACCTCCAGGACATCTTTAAACATTCTACCATCCAAATCATAGGGGTGCCAAAAGAAGAAGTGGAAGAGCAAGAAATTGAAAACTTATTTGAAAAAATAACGAAGGGGAACTTCCCCAATCTGGCAAAGGAAATAGACTTTCAGGAAGTCCATGAAACTCAGGGAGTCCCAAAGAAGTTGGAACCAGGGAAGAACACACCAAGGCATATCATAATTACACTAGCCAAGATTAAAATTAAGGAGAGAATCCTAGAAACAAGAGAAAAGGAGACAGTTACCTACAAAGGAGTGCCTATAAGACTGTGAGCTGATTTCTCAAAAGAAACCTTGCAGGCAATAAGGGGATGGAAGGAAGTATTCCAAGTCATGAAACCCAAGGACCTCCATCCAAGATTACCCTAGCAAAGCTATCCCCCAGCAAAGCTATCATTGAGAAGGGAAGGGAAGATAAAGCACTTCTCTGATAAGGTGAAGTTAAAGGAGTTCATCATCACCCAACCATTATGATATGAAATGTTAAAGGGACTTACCTAAGAAAAAGAAGATCAAGAATATGAATAGTGAAATGACAACAAACTCACAGCTATTAACAACCAAATCTAAAAAAAAAAAAAAGAGAGGGAGAGAAAAACCAAACACTAAGCAAACAACCAGAACAGGAACAGAATCACAGAAATGGAGATCACATGGAGGGTTATTAGTGGGGGAGTAGGAAAGGGAGAGATGGGTAAAAGGTACAGAGAATAAGTGGCATATATGGTAGGTAAAAAATAGACAGGCGGAGGTTAAGAATAGTATAGGAAATGTAGAAGCCAAAGAACTTATATGTATGAGCCATGGACATGAACTAAAGTGTTAGGGAATGTGGGTGGGAGGGGGTGTGTAGGGCAGAGGGGAGTAAAGGGGGGAAAATGTGACAATAGCAATAGCATAATCAATAAAGTATATATTTTAAAAAACTAGAAAGGCAAAAAAAAAGGACCAGAACTTATTTAAGAAACTTATTTAAGATAAAGAAGATGATCAAAACTATGGACAATAAAATGGTAATAAATACTAAAAATATATAAATAAACATAGTAAACATAGTTATTTTACATTCTTTGACTTAATGTGTATCTGAAGCCTTTGAGAATCTGACTCTGATGGATATTTTGTTTTTGGTTCTCAATAATGGTGTATGTTTGCTTGTATATTTGTGTTTTTTTCTTTTTTTATTGTTGTTCAAGTACAGTTGTCTCCATTTTACCCCCACCACACATCCCCAACTCCAGCCATCCCCACTTCCAACCCTCAATCCTACCTGCCTTTGGCTTTGTCCATGTGTCCTTTATACATGTTCCTTGACATCCCTTCCCTCTTTCTCTCCCATTATCCCATCCCACCTCCCCTCTGGTTACTGTCAGTTTGTTCTTAATTTCAATGTCTCTGGTAATATTTTGCTTGCTTGTTTGTTTTGTTGACTAGGTTCCATTTATAGGTGAGATCATATGGTTATATTAGTGATTTTTGACTGAGCTCATGTTCCTTGGAACTTATTCTGTATTATTTATAGTTTGAGTTGAAGATCTATCCTTTCTGACCTTACCTGTATTTATGTCAGCCAGTCTCTGGACATACATTGGTAAACTAACTGTTTTTGTTTGTCTGAAAATGCAGTCATTATTTGGAATGTTTTGAAGCTTTTGGGGACCACAGATATAATTAACATAGACATCAAGTCAATACATGCCTATGAATTCTTGGGGGAGGCTTCATTCCATGAGGAGGTTGAAACAGACTAGTTTGCTTACTCTCCACTTTTACCTAGTGAGCTTACATCTCATTCATCTTAACAATGAATGACCCAGTTTTATGCAAAAGAATCTAATATTTCCATTTGTAGGTGAAAGAAATATTTGTATTCTGTTCTTTGCAACACTGTCAAAACAGAAACATAGAGTTTCTAGAATATAGCAAAAATACTCAAGGAGGAAGTGTTATTGAGACCTGATATTCTCAAGTTTCTGATTTTATGCTGATAATCTCTGTACAGTCCTTAACATGTGTGTATCAACATATTGTTTCTATCCAGAGGACATCATTAAGGTATTTGATCTACCATAATGCCAAAAATCAAATTATTTCACTGGTATACACTTTAAAGTATTTTATCCATATTGTCCTACTGTTCTCCAACAAAATTGTGCCAATTTACATTATACTCATCAGTGAGCTGATCAAAAACTACATATTTTAATGTCTTAGGCTGGCCTTAAATGTTTCAACTATATTTAATATGAAGCTTTATGAAATCCAAAATATTCAGTTATTTATCTTCTTCAATAAAAATAATGAGGAAAGATTATAGGATATTTATACTCTGGTATCCAAAAGAGCAAAAGAGGGAGGAAAAAAGGTTTTTTAAAAAGATCTATGCATATTTTGAAATTTAGAAGAACATTTTAACAGCAGTGGCTAAGTGCATGTCTAGGCTTTGTCACTTACTAACTGCTTGACCTTGGTAGGCCTCTATTTTCTCATCTTTAAGATGGACATGTATGGCTACCTCACAGAAGCATCAGAGTATTAAATAAGATGATGTTGGCAAAGCAGAGCCTGATAGAAAATGAATTCTTAAAACTGGTAGCTAACATTATTAACTTGCCCCACGTGACTCTACTAGTGGATGGGACAGTCGAGATTTGAACCCAAGTTTGCCTGAATCCAAAACCCCTGAGAAACCCTTCCAACTTGTATATTGTTACGGAACCTAGAGAATGGTTGTTATCAAAGATCTTCTGCTCAGTAGGGCAGATCTTGCTGCCCATTTCTTCTCCATAAGCCAGATATTCTTGCTGTCCTTTTGTTCTCCATAAGCCCCATGGGGACAAAGGAGTGAGGAAGTGGATTTCCATCCCAATGTGTGATAAAACTGATAAAATATAGTTAAGCTTACTTAGCTATATACTTACAGAAGATAGATGATATTAAGCCTCCCAAACAGCTTCTGGGTAAATTTTCTAATGAGATTTTGGATACAGTAAATATCCTGTGACTCTGTTCTTCGGCAATAAACAACTTCTACCTTTCCTCTTGGAGAAGTGAGTATTGACATTTTTTATCCTGTCCCAAAAAGAAAGAAAACAGCTTACTGTTAACCTGAGATGACAAAGCCAGTCCAGTTATATTCCTTTAAAAATTGACCATTAATTCAATTTCCATATGGCAGAATGAACATAGTATTAGGTCTCTGGTGGGACATATTTTCCCTTGGGGGTAGGTTGTGACAGCTGTCACCGCAAACCAGGTAACATGTTTCTCTCCTGGAGAGTGCTGTTTCTGTCTAGAAATTTTTGCACCCATATTGTTTCCAACAAAGCTGCTTTAAAGTATTCTAACAATATGCTTGAAAAACATTGAAAGGAATTATTTACTGATTCAGAGTCCTCTTATATTTAATTAGTCACCAATGAATATGGTCAAGAGTTACAGAGGAATACTGACAGCAGCTGCCCAGATCCCAAATAAAGTTCCTGGAGTCCTGAAGGGCAGCAGTCCTGAGAGATAGTCTGAGACAAAACACTCTTTAGTCAAACAAATGTAGGAATGCTACTTGCAATAGCAGTCCTGATGGACCATCATGTCCATTAAAATCTTTGAGAAGTTCCTTAAGAAAGTATCTGCTTTCTTTGTATAACCAAGACTTTCTCATGCCTTTTCTGAGGAAAATCTCGGATGACCACAACTGTGGAGTGCCTAATTTTCAGAAAGACACTTTGGAGAATGTTCTTAACAGGAACAATAGGTCACAAAATGATTTCAATCTCCCTCTCTGTCTGTTGTTCCTTATCCTCTTTACTCCCTCTCTTCCTTCCTTTTTCTCCTTTCCTTTTTCCTAGGGAAAAACATTTTATTATATACCAGCCAATAAGCTCAAAAACAGGCAAATTAATATTTCATCATGATACTGACTGTAAGAACAGTTTGGAACATCTCCCCATCCTGGAAGGCTGCCTTCTTCCCCAATTTGCCCCTCCAAAGGTAACTATTATTCTGACTTCTATCTCATAGGTGATCTTTGCTAATTTTTAAACATCACATAAATGGAATAATACAGTGTGTATAGTTCTCTTTCAAAACAATGGATCTTTTTTGGCTTGTTATTTACCTATATTCTTGCATTTTGTGAAAGTTACAAAAAATTCAAGCACCACAGGAGCATGAGACAGCACTGGACTGAGCTGCTTCCTTGTCAGATGAGGAAACTGAAGGTGAAATGACTTGCCTCAGGACACACATTTGTTCTGAACTTTGGGCATCTCCTTCCAGCCCAGACCCCTGCCACTCCCACCTGTTCAAGTGACCTGCAGGGTGGCTTTGTGGTAAAAAGCCCTCCAACTTCCCAGTTCACTGGTGTTCAGATTAACTTAAGCTCAACTGCTCTTAACCATAAACCTATAGATGTTAAGGGTGCGAGATGCAGGGTAATGCAGGGGCACTTGTGAAGTTGGCAGATGGCCGCCAGAAATCTCATCCAATGGACTTTGTCTTGGTGAACTCACACCACCTTCAATTTTGCAGGCTACAGAGGGGTTTCATCAGCATACCCAAAGCAAATCCATCTCAGAAATGGCCGTACATTGTCCAAGCTCACAAAAAAGGAAAGAACAAGTACAAAATGCCAATTTATTCACTTACAAAGAGAAAAGTCAACAGCGAGGAAGTCCAGATGTTTCTGTAGCCCAGACAGTTATCAAATATGTCACATGCGCTAACTACAAATCTTATTTCCTCCCCTCAACAGGACAGAAGGGAACCATTTCTTCACCTGCCATGTGCTATGTGGCCACTGTCTTGCAACCTTGGTGTCAGGATGACTGCAGTGAAATGGGGACCTCAGGCTAGTCTTCCTCCAGCCAAATGTTGCCTTGTGGAAATGTGGGCTCAGAATGGCAGGTCTTCACATTTTGCAGAAGAAAAAGCTTTGTATTTATATAACATCTACAAAATTTGAAATATTGGCTCAAATTTTTTTTCACACTTTGCTGATTAAATAAACATTTCTTTAAGCTGGTTTAGCTTCTACTCCTGCTGTGGCAGAGTCACCCATGCACCCTCTGTCTTTGTAGACCAACTACATGGAAAGCCCAGCTATCAGAAGGTGGCTTACATGGGGCCATGGTCAAGAGCACAGTATGTGGAATCAGAGTACCAGAGAGGAGAACTAGCTTCTATCCCTTACTAGCTGTGACCTTGAGCAAATCACCTAATTCCCAGTTCCTCAGTTTCCTTATCTGTAAATCAGAGACAGCACAAATACCTCAAAGAGTTATATAAATGTGGTATTATGTACAAAACACTGACAGGAGTGTCTGACATAGTTACGAGCTCAGTACACATCAGCAATCATTAATATTATTATTATTGAGCATGACATTCTCAGGATTCAAACAGTGAACCTCAAGAAGTCACTCACCAAACCTGAAGCCTGAGGGGCCCTCATCCACTGTAGAGATGCCAAGCCAAGAAAATCAGAGATGGACATTTTTGGGTGATACCTTCACAGTTTTTCTAGATTTCTCTACATTGTTGATGACCACAGGGTCAATCAATCCCCTTTGCAATAGACACTTTCTTTCCTAGATAAATGAACACAATTTTAATCAAGTTGCAGTCTGGTTTTGATGACCTGCTAGCATTTCCTTTCTAAGAAGGCTTTAAACATAGCCCAGCTACAATGAGTTGATTTCATATTATAACTCCAATGTCAATCTTTCTTAGCATTTAATTTTTAAAATTATTTTTAATTACACAGCAGTGCATTATAATGCATTCTTCATTATACCTTCTCAATGCACAATATGTTCTCATTACAAAGAAAACCAGAAGGCTCAAATCTGGTCTATTTTATTGTGGTTAAATACACACAACATAAAACTTCTCATTTTAACCATTTTTAAGTGTACAGTTCAGTGGCATTAAATACATTCACATTGTTACCCAATTATCACCATTATCCACAACCAGAACTTTTTATTTGAAATCCTGTTTTGAAACCATTGATCCCAATCCAAGTTCCCTCTTTCTTGGGTTTACATAATTTCAGACAATCTTTTCTATTTAGGGAAACCAGCCACATATCCTACATGCTGGATGGGCACAATAGCCATCAGAAAGAGAATCATTGAAGGGTATCTCACCTAAAACCTTTCTCACTCCCAATCTTGTGAAAGCATTAACAAGCAATAAAATGACAGTATTGTTTCAAAGGAGACAGTCAGAACCTGGGGGACTATCATCTGAGCAATTAAATATCCAGTTATGTTTTCCACATCCCCTGTGAATGTGAAATTACGTACTTCCTACTGACATGGCATAAATACAGACAATAAATTTTCACATTTGTAAATATCCTTTACTTTCTTTCAGTAGAAACACACTTTAATAATGTCTAGACTCCAACTCAAGATAGCCATAAATATTGCCATTTCTGGGTTTGGTTTTAACTAAAATCAAAATTTGAAAGAGACAGCCTATTTGTAAAACATTATATAATAAGCTAATGCTATCAACAAGTAAAAATTCTGAATAAAATAAAACATGAAAGTATAATTAGAGAGCTGAACTTGGACAAAAGAAAACAAAAAAATAAGGAAGAAAGGACAAGCAAGGAGCACCCTCCACCCAGATGGCAATGACTTTACATCTAATGGCTCAGGAAGTGATCAGATCCGATCACACACTATGGGACAGAGTTTTAACATTCCGTGATGATAGTATAGGCCTCATTCAAAACAGAGAACTGAAACTAAAACCATACATACAAATTGGACTTTGGAGAAGTGACTTTTCAGTGAATGATGAGACTAGAAAAATTAAACCCACTAGCCCAAAAAAGTGGCTGGAAGTTTTCTCTGCCCATAGCTCTAGGTAGAAAACAGAACAAAACAAAACAAAACAAAAATGCTTGTGAGGAGTTCAAATTCCAGACCAAAGTGGGTGTGGCATCCCAATCCACACTACTGGTGTAGTATGGAGATCTCCACAAACTTCAGATAAGACTCTGAATGTGACTATAAAACAAGTGTTTGCAATTATTAGAAATATAGAAAGAAAAATAAAAGACATGAGAAAAGGTAATTATAAAAAAGAAATTTCAAAAATGGAAAATATGGTCATTAAAATTTAAACTAATTAGATGGGTTAAAAAAGATAAGATTGAAGAGAATTAATGAACTGGAAGACATTTATAAAGGAAGCCTATACAAATAAGCACAAAGAAATAGGAAAATAAAATGCAATTAAAAGACATTAAGGCAGAATGAAAAAAATTTTCATCATAATGATTCCAAAAAGAACAAGTGAAAGGCTGAAATAATAGCCAATGATTTTTTAGAATTGGTGAAAGACATGATTCTTCAGTTCTGAGCAGGAAAATAAAAATAAATCCTAAATATATAGTAGTACAACTACAAAACTCCAAAGATAAAGAGAAAATCTGAAAGTAACCAGATAAAAGACAGACTGTCTTTGAAAGAATAATAATTACACTTAGAGAGTATATTTCTCATCAGCAACAATAGAAGTCAGTAGTACAGAGGATGGTATACTTCTGTGAAGGGCCGATGATAAATCTTTTAGGCTTTTTGAGCCACATGTTCTTTGTGCAACTACTCAACTCTGCAACTATAGCAAATTAACAACCAGAGTCAATATGAACGCAAGTGAGTATGGCTGTATTCCAATAAAATTTTACTTATGGACACTGAAGTTTGATGTTACAAAAACAGACAATGAGCTGAATTTGGCCTATGGGCTATAGTTTCCCAACATCAGAATAGTATTTTTAAAACACAAAGGGAAAAATAACCATTAACCTAGAATTCTATACCTAACTAAACAATCATTTTAAAAAAATAAAGGTGAAGTAAACACAATTTCACCCCTTCCACACAGTCACGCCAAGTTAGCAATTTTAGCCACACCTGACACTTCCCACCACTTCCCAGCCAAGGGCCCCGCAAAGTGTAGGCAGGATCCAAGCATTCTGCATATCAAAGAAATGTGCTTCATAAAGAAGCAGGTGGAGGCATGGGAGGTAAAACACCACCTGCTACTCATAAAACCAAATCAGAAGAAAATAAGGAGGGAAAAAATAACAACGTGGAGGAAGACATAAAAACAGACTAACCATCCTGAGGAAAGTGATCTAGAAATTAACAGTGAGAGTGTGACTGAAGCAGACACTGATGCCCCTCAGTTAATGGGAGATGAAAATGTAGAGATAACCAAGGAGATGATGGATCAGTCAAACAATAAAAAACTGGCTGCCACTGATGCCCCCTAAATGATGATGAACTGCAGAAAGCCATTGATTTGCTCACAGATGCCATCACGCTGAATTCTCACTTGGCCATTCTGTATACCAAGAGAGCCTGTGTCTTCATCAAATTACAGAAGCCAAATGCTGCCATCAGAGATTGTGACAGAGCTATTGGAGTAAATCCTGACTCAGCTCAGCCTTAGAAATGGTGAGGGAAAGCACACAGACTTCTGGGCCATTGGGAAGCAGCCCATGATCTTGCCCTTGCATGTAAATTGAGTATGAAGATGCTAGTGCAGTGCTGAAAGAAGTTTAACTGAGGACCCAGAACATTGCGAAAGTATGAGCAGAAACATGAAGAGTGAGAGATTAAAGAAAGAATGTAAAGGGTTAAGAAGGCTCAGGAAGAACATGAGAGAGCTCAGAGGGGGGAAGAAGCCAGATGACAGCCAAGAGCTCAGTATGGCTCTCTTCCAGGTGGCTTTCCTGGGGGAATGCCTGGAATGGGAGGAGGTATGCCTGGAATGGCAGGAATGCTTGGGATCAATGAAATTCTCAGTGATCCAGAGGTTCTTGCAGCCATGCAGGGTCTAGAAGTTATGGTGGCCCTCCAGGATATGGCTCAGAAGCCAGGAAATATGTCAAAATATCAGAACAGCCTAAAGGTTATGAATATAATCAGTACATTGTCAGCCAAATTTGGAGGTCAAGCATAATGCCTTTCTGAGAGATAAAGCCCTTGCTGAAGGAAAAGCAATTTGGATCACCATTGGATGTCACAATAATACAAACCAGTGTACCTCTGACCTTCTCATGAAGAAAGGTGGGGTGGATTGAAGAAAATCCCTCCCTCTCTGCCTCAAATGCAGCTGTAACACTTTGCAGTGGTTTTCCATTATGGTTTCAGACAATGTTTTCTTATTATAAAGGAATTATAAAGTTTGAACACTTTTAAATCTTAAAAATATTTACAAACAAATTTAAAAGCTGTGTTAAACCCTACATTTTTCTTTACTAAAAAAAGACAATTTCATACAAAAACTAAAAGAAATTTCCAAAGAACCTGGTTAAAAGAATAAAGATGTGTATCAGGAAGAATAAAATTAAAATCAGAAAGGAGTGGAATACAAGAAGAAATGCTGAGGAGAAAAAAAGTAAACATGCAGGTATATGAGGGGGAACCCCAAATCCCCCCAGAATTATCTTCTGAAGGGTGGGCCTCTTGTAGTACAGGTTTCCCCCACTAGATGAGTGTTCTAGGAACCCATCTGTATCAGTCTACCAGCTGGCTTTGTTGTGAGAGGCTGCATTCAGTTTCAGTGAATTTTTTTAAGACTCTTTCATCAGGTTTGCCCATTTTATGATGGATGACTTACAAGCATACTGTCTACATGGCACTGAGTGTTCAGTAGTTTTTGGCCAAAAACAGCATGACCCCCATGCCCACCCTCCCTTTTCACCTGATCTCACCCTGAGCAACATTTTTTTGTTTCCCCAGGTTAAAAATGTCCTCAAAGGGAAACACTTTGCCGATGTGGAAGAGGTTAAACAAAAAACAGCAGAAACACTAAAAGGCATCAAAATCAACAAGTTCAAAAACTGTTTTGAGCAGTGGAAAAAAACACCTTGATAGGTATATTGCATCAAATGGAGAGTAATCTGAAGGTAATCTGTATGTAAAAATAAATACACACTTTTAATAACGAAATTCCACTTGGGGGGGTTCCCCCTTGTATCTAAATAAATAAGAATTTATGACAAAAAGAAAAGTAATGATGATAAATTTTGCTCAAAAAACAAAAGCTGAATTGAATAACCAGACAACAAAAACTTGTGAGGTAGAAGTAAAGCCTTCTGGGTGTTTGTATCTTTGAGAGGAGGCTAGAGATGATTAACTGTAAACTTTGTTAAATCAATTATGCATAATTACAAACTTAAAAAACTATTTAAAGGAAACATTTTTATTTTAATTGTTTATTTATTTTGTTAGGTGATTTCTCTTTATAGTTATATAAAATCTAATTCAACTTATTTAAAATTTGAAAAGTGAGCTAAAATATTAATTAATAACAGATGGTACAGAGCTATGGCAAATATTTTCTTATATGTTACAAATGTCTTCACTCGGGAAAATCAAAATAAAATTTTTTGAAAGCATATCTGCAGATAAAATATACAAATATATTTTTTTCCAAACACCAAAAGAGACTTGCAACAGTCAAAATTCTCTTAACCAATGAGCCACCAATACATGAAAAGACAGGGAGGAACCTTAAATGCATATTAATAAGTGAGAGAAGCCAATCTGAAAAGGCTGTTACATATGCATCATTCCAATAATATAACATTCTTGAAACATCAAAACTGTGGAGACAATAAAAACAATCAGTGGTTGCAGAGGGCAAAAGAGGAGGAATGAATAGGTGGAGCACAGAAAATTTTTAGGGCAGTAAAACCACTTTGTACCATATTCCAATGGTGGATACATGTCACTATGTTATTTGTCAAATCCCACAAAATGTACAGCACCAAGAGGGGACCCTAATGTAGACTATAGACTTTGGGTGATAATGTGTCAATGTAGGTTTATCAAGTATAACTAATGTACCACTTTGGGGGGAGAGGATTACTGGTGGGGAAGCTGGGGGTTGAGGTGGGAGGGGAAATTGAAAGAAATTCTCTTTCTCTTTCATTCAATTTCGCTGTTAACCTAAAAGTGCTCCAAGAAATAAAGTTTTTTAAAATTTCTTAACCATTTGCTTTCTCATAAATTAATTTTTCTGGTTTTGAAGGCATATCAAGAATTATACCAGCTAACATTTACTGAACGCTTTACATAGATTTTCCCTTTAATCTTGGTGAAACAGATATTATCCTCCTCTTATAATTAAAGACATCGAGGCCAAGAGAATTTATGTAGTTAAAACACAGAGAATTTAAACATCTCTTCATCTGACAAGGTTGGCTGATTTGCTAGTAGTTTACTGATTAATTTTTCTTATCATCTGACTTTAAAATACCTTCAATTACTTAAAAATAGATGTTTAACAACCTTGGTGTTAATTTTTGATGCACTACTGTCCAGAAGCGAAAGGGTGAGGGTCTCAGAAATTACAAAACCTAGAAGGCAACTTCGCACCGGGAGGCCTTGAGTGCTGCGGCTCAGTCCTTGGCATGCTGGGAATAGTAGTTTTCTGACCTGCCTCTCTTCCCCCGCCCTCAAGCATCCAGATCAGAGATAGGCTAGTCCCCTTGCCGGGGGCCTAGGGTACACGTATTCAGCTATCCTTGGGTGATCATCCCAGACCCAGACACTGACCTTGATGCGTCCTTGATGCCCTGGACCCAGTCCTTGAGTTCCTGCCAGGAAGAACACCTCTATCCACCCTAGCCGCAGCTGCAGGACGCAATGCTCCACAACGACTCTTAGGACGCACAGCCAAGTTACCACAGAAACGGTGTTCCCTGGGTCACAGCGCGTGCGTGAGGTCAAAGTCACTTGGCTTCCGGTTCCGGGATCCCGCTGACTGAAAGCTTAGAGTTGTGGGCGAGCTGTCCGGCCAATTTTGGGGGTTCGGAGTTCGCTGGGAGTCTTCTGCTGCAGCAATGGCAGCCTCCACTGCGGCCGGGAAGCAGAGAATACCCAAAGTGGCCAAGGTAGAGGATAGCGAGAGCCCTTCTGAGAAGGGCCTCGGGAGAGGGGATTACGCCAGGCTCCTTGGTACGTGGGGTGGGTGAGTGAGCGCCAGGCCCACTTCCCGCGGGGCGGAGGATGATGAGGAGCAGAAGGGATAACTGGTATTGGGATACAGGCTCTTGTCACTCCGGAGTACAGCCGGCGTTGGTGTGGCCTTCGTTGTAGTAAGGTGTTTTTGCGGGCGGGAGGAGGAGAGGGGTCATTCAGCATAGATAACTGAGCCAGGCTGGACGCTAGACGCTGCAGAGCTGCACGGTAATGTTTGCGAGGAGCAGTACACAAATAAGATAAAAGTGTACAACAGAAACTTGCCAAATGCTACTGAGGCAAAGTAGAATGTGCCCTTGAATAGTAGATTGTATGAGGTGTCCGAAATAGACTTGCCGAGGAAGTGACATTTAAACTGAGACTTGAAGGCTGAGTAGGGATTAGCCCACCTGAAAGTTGGAAAGAATGACAGCAGATGACAACAGTTGTGTAGTGATGTAAGTTAATTAAACGATAAATTTGATGTCTGGTATTCCTATCGGTGGATGATAGTTACCAGGTATTTAATATGTAGCAGGCTTTGTCCTAAGCCTTTACAGATAGATATTCTTCCAGTCTGTTTCTCCATCCCAGATGACTCTCTTGAGCCTGTTCTTTACGTATTTATTTAGATAACTGCCAGAGATAAGCCTATAAGGCATATAGCACAAAGTCTGGTACTTAATACTCACTAGGTATGAGCTATTATTATCATCATCATTTCACAGCACTAAATAGCTAGTATTTCTTAGAATTCCATTCCATAAACTTTTATTGGGCAGCACTGGTGCAGAAGAAATAATGTGAACCATATATGTAATTTAAGTTTTCTCATAGCTACTACATTAAAACATCAAAACAGGTGACATTAATTTTAACTATATATTTTATTTAATAACTTGGTGTATCCAAGCTATTGTCATTTCAACATATAATCAATGTAAAGCAATAATTAGGTATTTTATTCTTTTTTTTATACACAGTCTTCAAAATCCACTGTGTATTTTACACTTACAGCCCATCTCAATTTGAACATGTGGCTCATGGCTACTATGTTGGACTGCACAGGTTTGAGACCTCAAGAATCTTATAGTGTGATGATGGCAACTTAACCGAATATTGTCTTTGACTTCAAATGCCATGAAAAACCAAATGCAGTTACCCACTTAGGGCATTATCATCCACCTGGAACCTAAGTTGAAGAATTCTGTAAATAGAGATTGTAATGCTAGCTAAGATAATGGTTTATATCTTGATAAACAAAACCTCAGGTGAGAGTTTTACCTAGGCAGCCTCAAAGTTTTTTATTTTACTAATATAAAAGGGAAAAATTGCTATTTTTGCTACCTTTTCTCTTGCAACTTTTACCTATAGCTTGTTAATAGATATCAGGCATAGGATAGGAAACATATTTTTTGCTATTTAGTTGCTCAGAGAAATGGGAACATGTTGTACAAAGAAGGCATCTTGTAACAAAGTGTGCATCCTAAAAATCTTTGTTTCTTAAACTTTGTGTGAAGAGCATCTACTAAAAATAAACATGTCTTGTCATAAAAGGTAAAAAACAAAGCCCCCGCTGAGGTACAGATAACTGCTGAACAACTTTTAAGAGAAGCTAAAGAGAGAGAACTTGAGCTTCTTCCACCTCCACCTCAACAGAAGATCACAGATGAAGAAGAATTAAATGATTATAAACTAAGGAAAAGGAAGGTCAGTCAATGTGATGTCTTTCAGCATGTTAATATTATTAAGGATTTCTAGGTCAGAGTTTCAAAAGTTCCTCATTGTTGACAGACTCTAAGATGAGGTTAGTGTTTTTATCCACATAAATAATATAATTTCTGGTTATCAGAAAACTACTTTCTGAACATTATGAAATATGCCATGAGTTGTCTGTTTCAGAGTGTAAAGAAATAAAGTACTCCAGAGACATAATTGTTGGTGCTCAAAGATGAGTAGGAGTTTAACAGGTGGAACAACTGACAGCTGGAGGAAGGGTGGACTTTGCACTGTGTTCTGTGCTTCTTATCTCCGTTCCACCTCCTGTGTTAAGAGTTAAGATGTGGGAAAGAGGACCGGGAATTTGATCTGACCATCTCACTCTAGAATGTGGGATTATTTTTAAACCATTAATTCTGTCATATCTACTTATCAGTTATTCTTAATGAATTATGTATGAACTTCTGTTACATTACCAAAAAGACTTAGTCAAAAACATTTTCTTATTAGGCCCAAGCAGAGCATATTACAGTATCATGAGTTGTATTGAGCAATAAAATATCAACAAATCTGCTAATAATTCTTTGTATCTAAAGTTTTCCTCTTGCTTGCATGTGAGACTTTATGCTGTAATTGTCTCCTGTTGTGGGTTTCTTATTTCTGAAGGATTCCAGGATATAATTTCTCTTAAATAAGAACAAAATGAGTAAGAACCTTTTTAGTACAGGATTAATAGACAAAGGATGATATCATTTTTAATAATTTTTTTCTTTAATTTGAACCTTTTTGCCTTCTCAGACTTTTGAAGATAACATAAGAAAAAACAGGACTGTGATTAGTAACTGGATAAAATATGCACAATGGGAAGAGAGTTTAAAGGAGATTCAAAGGTAAAATTGCTGATCATGTAAATTTATACATAAAGATGTCATAAGTTAACAGATCCAAAAAAAGAAAAGAAAAGAAAAGAAAAAAGTTAAAGCACAAGTAAAAGATTGTGTCTCTGTTAGTAACTTTCAAAGTTTGTTCCAGAGAGCCCTGGGGTTCCTTGGAGGAGCCTCAGTCGCACTGTGGTAGGCTAGTCCTGGGGGTAGCAGAGTATGAAGCTCTATAAGTGAGTCTTACCACTAGTACACTCTCTACAGCCACAAATGCGCAATTTCATCTGCTTTCTCTATTTTTTTTTAATAAAAAAATCTTTTACTGAGACAGTGGCCAGTTAAAATCACAACCTGGCCCTTTCTATTGTTTAGTGTTTCTGCACTCTCTCAGCATGTCCCCTGCCCCCACTGTGCTACGTGCTACATACTTGCCGTTTCGTGAACACATCTTCTTACTGTAACACTTGACTTTTCTCTCTACCTGGAATGATTACCCACTCACCTACTGTGGCCTCTGACACTTTGCTCAAGTTCCAGATTTGTTCTCAGTTCTGGAGTTAGGCTACTGCTTAGCCTTTTCCACTACACATTTTTATTTCTTTTCTTCTGCTTCCCTGTACAGATCTTGACTATAATATTTATTACAGTGTATTGTAATTACTTGCATGTCCATCTTTCTGTGTCTTTTTAAGGTTCCTGAGAATAGCATTATATCTTTTCACTTTTTATGCCCAGAACCTGTCTCTTGGTGGACCCCTGATAAAATAGCAGGGCACTACAGATGATTTGAAATAGTTGCTATGTGTGTTGTGTGTACTGCTTTTAATGCCCTCCAAATCTTGCTTCTTAAGGGCTCGATCCATATATGAACGTGCTTTAGATGTGGACTATCGAAATATTACACTCTGGCTGAAATATGCGGAAATGGAAATGAAGAATCGCCAGGTCAATCATGCCCGAAATATCTGGGACCGAGCCATAACAACTCTGCCTCGAGTCAACCAATTTTGGTGAGTTTCTGATCTAATGAAATGTTTTTTTGTAGACCAGAAGGGTGCCGTATTTGTGTATTTATTTTGTTTACATAATGTAATCATACAGATGTATTTGATTTTATACATATATGTATGTATAAGTGCTTTTGAATGTCCTGTAGTCTATTAAGTCATAACCAATGTCTAATAGCTGTGTAGTCAAAACTAAATTTTGATTACAATCTTTAATGCATAAGAAAGTTCTTGTTGAATTAAGCAATTTTTAAGAAAATAGGAAGAGCCAGGATTGGGACCTAAGGCCATTTTCATGGTGATACAGAAAAGGACAGGCTATATATAAGCTATATTGTCTTTAATTAAGCTTCTGGCAATGATGGAGGGGTACGTAGATATGCTTCACGTCCTTGCACAACCAAAAGAAAGATAACAACCAATTAAAATAGAAAAAACAACTAGAATTGCCAGTAAATCATACAGTATGAAAGCCCGACAACCAAGGAGTTAAAGCAGAAACATTCATCCTGACTGTGCAACAATGCAGCAAAGTGGGTTGTGCTGCCCAGGAGAATACATAAGGCACTGCCCTGGTGAATACTTAAAGCTCTGCCATGTAAAATGTTAACAGGTGCACTGAAACAAAGAAATACAGCCCTAATGGAAGAACAGATCAAAACTCCAGAAAAAGAACTAAGTGACAAGAAGATGGCCAACCTATCAGATGCAGATTCCAAAACACTGGTCATCCGGATGCTCATAGATGATTGTATATGGCTTCCAAAATAAAGGAAGAAATGAAGGCTATACAGAGTGAAATAAAGAAAACTATACAGGAACTCGCAGTGAAGGGAAGGAAACTGGGACTCAAATCAACAATTTGGAACAAAAGGAAGAAATAAACATTCAACTAGGACAAAATGAAGAAAAAGAATTCAAAAAAATGTGCAGACACTTAGGAACCTCTGGGACAACTTTAAGTGTTCCAACATCAGAATCACGGGGGTGCTGGAAGGAGAATAGGAAGAGCAAGAAATGGACAATTTATTTGAAAAAATAATGAAGGAAAACTTCCCCAATCTGGCGAAGGAAAAAGACTTCCAGGAAGC